TAACTTGTGAAGAGAATTAGCACAGCAGAATCATCAAAAAAACACAACAACCAAACAAAAAACCCAAACAGAATTATTCATGGTGAATATGTTTGCAATTTTCCTTTCTTTTTTTAGTGTTACCTGTTCCACATGTATGTGGGTGTAAGAGCTGGTGGTGGCATTGGAGATGAAATTGAGGATCCCGCTGGAGACCCTTATGAAATGTATCGAATTGTCTTTGACATTACATTTTTCTTCTTTGTCATTGTTATCCTACTGGCCATTATTCAAGGTACTTCACTTACCTCAGTACAGACTGTTAGAATTTAATTTACTTAAGTTCTGCAATGTATTTAACAATATTAGTGTTTGAGATAAATTTAGCAGTATTGCTATGCAGACTTCTAAGCAGATAAAATAATTAATTCTGAAAGTATTAATTTTCTGCTTATTTAATAGACAATGCATTGTCCCAAGCACTACACAAAGACAAGACATAAGAAACATAACTTACCTGGGTTACAGTGTTTATGAACACTTGACAACCATGCAGCAATGATGGAGCTTGTGCAGGACCACTGTTCCTCCTATAATAACCATTTAACCTCGAAGAGCCTTACTGTAGACACTCTTTACCCCTTGTCTGGAACCACCATAGCTGGCCGGGGAATGGAGACTTTCCACTTGAAAAGGGGAAATGACATGGAGAATGTTATAATGGCCACACACCCAATTTCTCCTTTCTTTAGACAATGATTTGAAGTTTTAATGGTTTTACCATTGTAGTTTACAGAGAATGAGACCTCTCTTCAATGACTGTCACAACACTTGTTGTATAAACTGAACTAAGGCTGTTAGGAAAAAACACTATTTTAGGACAATCTGGTAGCAAAGAAAAAAATACATCTACACTGAGAAAAAGTGATAAATGTCACAGTCCCCAGAATGATCCAAGTCTATTATCAATATGGTGAAAGTGGAGGAATAATGCTTCAAATGTGAAGCAGTATCACAAACTGGCCAGGGGGCCTATGCAAGGAGAGTTGTCTGTGGAACAAATCTTGGATACAAGAGTTCCATGAGAAGGACAATGAAAATTAAATTATGGGAACAAAAGAGCTGAGATTATGGAAGCTTAAACTGACCAAAATAAAAGCCTTTCCAGTCTCAAGATTGTACTTCTACGTAACAGGAACTCTTACTGCCAGGAGTGCAGCACAAACTAATGTTAGATATGAGAAAACTGATACAGATTGTTAACTCGAATTGTTCAACCTACACATAAGTATGCTAAGCTCCAAAGACAGTGGAAGATGTCTGAGACAGTACTTGAAATACGAATATTGCTAAATACTAAAGTGTAGCTACTTTTCCTTTTGAATTAGGTCTGATTATTGATGCCTTTGGTGAATTAAGAGACCAGCAAGAACAAGTGAGAGAAGATATGGAGGTATGACTAAGCACACTGTATTTTTCATTACTCTTATTCATCTAGATTGTTACCAGCTAAAATTGTCTTTGGGTTAAAATGAATTTGTAACCACAACTTGTGTTTCCAGACCAAATGTTTTATTTGTGGAATTGGCAATGACTATTTTGACACAACCCCACATGGCTTTGAAACACATACTTTGCAAGAACACAACTTGGCAAACTATCTGTAAGTATATCTTACTACTGGAATTATGATAAAGAGACCTTTCTCCTTCAGAGTAATTTAGGTGCACGCCTTGCTGACAATCCTAAAACAGAATTCTGTAGAACTGAGGAAAATCTCCATTCCTTTCTGGTCCTCCCTTCTCTATTCTACACTGCTGGTTACCTTTACTGCTCACCTTACCCTAGTTACCTCAGTGGAATGACACCTAAAGGTATACCAACTCCTTACTCCTCTGGAAGGAAACCCAGATATGTGGAATGGTAAAGAACAACAGTTTAATAAGTTGGTTTAGCTTGGAAGTTTTGACTGGGGGCTTGGTAATGTTGATGGGCCCATTGAAAATTAGCCTCAATTTAACAAAAAGAAAATCCAAACCCAAACATCAAACCAGCCAACCAACCAACCAAACACAGTATTTCTGGAAGATTCTTGAAAGATAAAACACAAAAAGATAGTGTAAAAGTCTGATCCTATAGTTGTTTAGTGACAGTGCAGCTTTCCGAAACCTTGAAGCAATCAGGAGTCATACGTGTTCAGACTATTGCCTAAACTCCCAAGGCAGTGATCTCCTACTTTCATTAGTAGAATTAGCTTCATTAGCAAATACAGAGCAGCCCATAAAGCATATTTTAAAAGCTAGTTTTGTGACTGACCAAGAGCTGTGTTACATATAAACAAACCATTGTTAGTACTCTACAGCCTCCCTAATTAGTTCAAGGTCCCTGCACCTGAGTGAGCATAGGTATCTGAAATAGGCTCAGCTTATGAGCTGTATGGCCCGTGTTTGGAAATCTTGGTGTAGCTGAGCATGTGCCACAGTTCTAACTTCTTGCATAGTAGCCACAGTGACTTCTTGCAAGGCAAGATGTTGGACCGTATGTATATAGGAGTCGGCATATGCCTAATTCAGGTATTGCTCCTAGCACTGAACCATGTTTTTCCACTTCTACAGATTTCACATCTGTTAGCATTCCACAGAAGTGCTGAAAATAGAATTTTCTCCTTTAACATAAGCACTTTAGATGTCTAGCAATATTACTGCTGGTTGGAATAATCTCCTTCACATGCTCTCTAAGGAGAGCTTAGGCACAGATGTCATGTTGTCTGCATTAATACCCATTCATGAATTTGTTTCAGGTTCTTTTTAATGTATCTCATTAACAAGGATGAAACGGAGCACACTGGCCAGGTGAGTAGGAAGTAAAATCTAATTTGTTTTCTTAAGATTATCTCCCAAAGTTATCTTCTCCTGCCTTGTAGCTCTGTACCACCAGGTGGGACTAATGAACCACCAAGGAGTGAAGAGGATCCCCCACTCCACAAGAGTGTTCTGAGACAGAAAGAAAAGGAAGGGTTAAAAAAAGGGAAGGAGGTGCACTGCAGCAGTGTGCTATTCTACCCAGCACTGAACTCTGTCAGAAGTTAGTTACTAGTAATCTTACTGTCAACTCTGAAGTGAAAACCTGAAACATGCCAGTTGCGGTTTATTCCCAAAAGATTAAGAAGCCTAAGCGACAATATTTGTAGCCTAAATCCATATATATGTGTGTGTATATAGATATGGATGTCTGTATGTATGTTTAGTGTTGCCTTAAATGTAAGTAAGAAAATAAATAGGATTTAATTATATCTTATCTCACATAAGCAGCTGTTATGCAAATACAACAAAAGTACCTTACATTTAAATATTTTTTCAAGCAAAGTAAAGCACATTTTATAGAGAGAGAGATTGTGTACAGGTTTGGTGTGGTATAAGTAGACTGATTAATTTACATTTACACAGTTTTTCTAACAGAGCTTAGATCTTAGTAGTACTGAACAGAGAAAAGCACAGAACAGTAGTTTCACAGAATGTTCTTGAGTTACAATCTTTGAGTTTCAATGTCTTCACAGTTCTACACCACAGTAATAGGCACAGTACCTGGTTATAGTTACAAGTTTATCTAGAGCACTAACTGCACCCTGTATGTTAAAATATATACTCCTTTTCGTTTTCAGGAGTCATTTGTTTGGAAGATGTACCAAGAAAGATGCTGGGATTTTTTCCCAGCAGGGGACTGCTTCCGGAAACAGTATGAGGATCAACTTGGCTAGTATCACAAAGGAGATTATTTATTCATGAACTATTAAGATCCAGTATACAAAAAAAACCCTTATTTTCTTTTCATGGTGTAATTTCACAGCTTGTATTTGCTTTCAATGTCTTTAAACTTCAAGACATATATAAAATTTGACACTATTTCATAGGCTTTTTGTATCTACCACCTATGAAACTGGTCTTTTGTTAGAATTTTAATTAAAAAAAAAAAAAAAGCCAGATTAATTTAAGCCTTCCGGTTCAATCATGGTCTGATGTTATAACAACTTTTTAAGCATATCATTAACCAAGTGTTTGGCAGTACAGTTGAAAGGGCTAAAAGGTGTCTTACTTGCACAACATTTGACATTTAAGAACTTGAAGATCAGAGGCCACGCCTCCAAAAAAATATTTTAACTAAATGCTGTCCAGTTTTTCCCCTAGTAGTTGCTAGTGAATGTATTAAGATACAGCTTGAAAAGCTTTAAGCAGTTAAAAAGAAAACATTTTCAAACACTTTGTCAACCTTGAAACATTAAGTGCCTTAAAATCTCTGTAGTCATAGCTATGCAAACTTTTTGTTAGTGTTCTAGACGAACAGATCCATTAACTGTATTGCTTTTCTGTCTTTCTGTATCAAATTGCACTTGAAGTTTGTTTATACACTACCTTCAATAACAGCTTATTAGATGCTGCTGTTAAAAAGACATACACTGTATCAAAATGAATACAATTTAACTCTTAGGCCAAAATAAAACAACAAATGCTCTTTGGTCACCGGCAAGTAGAAGCTGCTAGGATTACGCATTTTTTTCTTCTAATAAAAAGTGCCCACTGCAATAAAGTATTATAAACCAAATAGTAGCTCTGCTGTCTTCTCTCTCTTATTTTCCTACAACATGGAAACGTGGCATAAGGATGGTGATTAAAAACACAGGTATTCATTGCTCATTCATAACTTTATTTTAAGGACTACATAGAGCAAGTACAAGCTGAAAGAACTGGTCTCTTAGTGTGTTGCAGACTGCATCTTCAGCAAAGAAAATCCTAATTTCAACAGAAATTCTGGACAGTTCCAAGAATATTAGTCTTAGACAATTTTCAATCACATCTAAATGAATTTTGGTTGCACAGAATTTTAAGTGCCAGTGGAGAAAACCAGGCTTTTGGCATATTGAATGAAGTGAAAGAAATAAAGGAAATAACAAGGAGATAAAGAAAAATCCAACTTTCTGCTTAATATTTGCTGTATTAAATTAGTCACACAAGAAAATCTGAGCTTCAGGAAATCATGCTGTCCAGCCAGTCTTCAAGCTCTTCCTCAGTAACATTTTTAGATGTACTTTGCTGTTGTTGTGATGATGTGTTATTCTCTTCAGGAATATCTAGTTTTAAAACATCTAGAAAAGTGAAAAGAGCAGACTTGAAAATCTGGAAGTAATTCCGTACCAGCAATTTGTCCTGGATAATTTATGTTTTAATGTGCAAATGATTCTGTTTAAACACAATCTCTTTCTTGAAGAACAGCAAGTCATATTCCAAAAACAGTAGCAACAATTTAAAAAAAAATAATTAAAAATGAGGCAACTTAGTAAGATCAACCAATGCACCATGGCTGCCATCTCATTCAAGGGGGGCAGGGCCTGCCCTGCAGCAGGCAGATTGTAAGTGTTCCCTGACTGAGATCCACTGGCAGTCCTGCCCGGTGCAGTTTGCTGTAGGAGAGGAGCAGGAGGCTACAGCAGCAGATCACCCTGCACGATTATTACAGCACGATATGATTCCATATTCTGATGGCATTGTGTTCTAAAAGGAAGTAACACCCTTTGCTTTGGAGTGCAAAGCATGACACACCATTGGAATGAAAGAGAATTGCAAGACTGTCTTCAGTGACAGGGCTTTTTTTTTTTTTTTTTTTGTAGTGCTCGTGGTAGCATCTTAAATGTTCAACAAGCTTTGACCTAATTTTTAACATAGCAAGAATATCATACACACAAAAATCAGAGATGCTAAAAATTCTTTTACATCATTGTGGACTGCAGAGCAGTAGTAAACCATCTCCATGAAAACCAACAATATAACAGTATAACTTCCAGGAATGCAAACACGAGGAAAAGTTTGCTGATTTTTTCAAAATATTAAAAATTTTGTATATGATTTGTTTCCATACTAAATTTTGTAAAATCACTGCTAATAAAGTTTGAAAAAAGCATTTACAATGAGCCATTGAAAACAGCTGTCAATTCTTCTTTGTACTAGTAGCACAGTGAACTATGAGCTGATAATGTTACCTAAAAACATTTAATTTCCTTCCTCTCACTAAAATTCTCTAACAATAGGGTTTGGGTTTTTTAAAATTTTTGCTGAATCATAAGACCAATGCTGCTTTGCAGGAGAACTTCTCTTAATGCTTAAACTGAACTGACAATGGTGCAACTTCAGTTCAGTGGGAAGTTAAAATTGAAAAGAAACAGGTCAGAATATAGCCCCAGATGAATGAAATGTGCTATGACAAAGATGACAACAGCAGTACTGTTGGCTGAGTAATCTAGAATTCAAAAACACCACCAAAACAGAGAGCAATGGAAAATAAGTAAGGGCATGCTGAAGTAAAGAGAAATCTTACCATTTTCCTTACAATCCATTTTCAAATCTTTCTCAGTTGCTGTGTTTTGGGATAATGCATCTGTCACTGGTCTGGTTTCTGTATCAATGGGAGCATCTAGATTTAGGAGAATATCTAATTCTTCATCCAAACGGTCAGTCTCTTGCTTTGATAGTGGATGAGCTCTCTGAAATGGTTCTGCTGCACTTGCCCCAGGACCATTTTTATGTCCAGGCTCTGATGGAGCAACAGAATCACCAACGGGATGGGAAACAAGCACTGTTTCACTTTGAGAATGTCGGAACAGAAGGTCTCTCTTCTTGCCATCTTCAATAAATTTAGATTTCATCTGTGGGAGCTCTGCAGGTGTTGATGCCTAAGAGTACAAGAAAGGACTTGAGGCTTTTTATTGATTAACTCCATTTTTGCTGTTCTGCCTAGTTTAGATTGTAATTCATGCATCCTACATTTGATCACACAAGAAGGTAGAATGAATTTCAGCAGAGTAGAATTCAGAAGTAAACATAAAGTTATCTTGACAGTACTTTTACAGTAGCAACAACAAAATAGAAACTCTTCTCCTTCATTAGTATGAGGTTGCATGCTAAATCAGCAAGTTCTACTGTTTCACAAATACCTCCTGGAGAGTGACTTTTCTTTAATTCTTCTGTAATGAAATCCCATCAATACTCTGAATTTTGGAATGAAGTCAGAATTTTGCTAGAAACATTATCCCATGTTAGACTTTCCTTCCAAAATCCCAGTCTTCAAAACAAGACCATACATAAAGGTCACTGAAAATAATTTAGCAAAAGTTACAGCATATAGCTATATCGTTAGAAAAATTAAATGAAATTACAAAACATTATCAACTAGTGAAACAAGAAATGGTGACTTATTATTTAACCATGGAATGCAGATTCTGCTTTTACCAGGATGCCATGGCATTAAAATTTAAGACTGCAGCATATGTGATGACCACAGTACCAGTCAGAATGACAAGACAAAGATTAAATGTTGTAACACACACTTCATAACCCTGATAAAAGTTTAAGACTGTGACTAGAACTCTTAATAAGAAATTTGTATTTGAAATTAACATCCATTTGCAGATTCCCTTCTACATCACATCTGCAGACACATCTGAGCTCCCTTAAGGAAAAGCATATTTGTGTCAGTCACAGAAGTACTTCATGCAATTCCAATGAGAGTAAAATTTCTTCTGTAAGCGTCATGTTTCTTTTTCCTTGTTGAGCAGATGTAATGTTTTAAAGAATTTAAGTCTATTTCTTTTTCACAGCCTGAAGAAACATTTTTTACTAGTATTATGTTATTTGGGGGTTTTTTAACTAGAGCATAAATGACATTTTCTTGACCTGTCTGATTGACAGTTCTACCTGCTCTAAAACAGATGTAAGTTTTATTTATGGAATAAACATGTATGTTGATATTACCTCTGTATAAGAGTGAATTACAAAATAATTAACATGAAATAGAGTGAAAGAACTTTCAAAATTTTGGTGCAAGCTTTTAACAGCTGCTAACAAGAGAAGCAAATACAAAAACAGTGCAGACATTCTATGTTAAACACACTGATACCTGCCTTCAAGTCTAACGTGCTGCACATCAGAGCAATTTGTTTTAAGCCAACAAAGCATTAGAAGTGCTGATAGAGGGTATCCTGCATAACACGCCATTTGACATGCCAGTCTCAATAAATGTATTTACTTACAAAATACATTCTAGCTATGTTTGAAGACCAAGTTCAAAGTAATCACTCTTGCATAGATTGTTTCACTAAAAATGTTTGCATTTTCTTGTGAAAATTCACAGCATTACCTGCACAAGTTCAGCAGCTACATTCAGCCGCAGGTGCAGAGGCAATTCCTGAAGTGCCTGGACCAAAGACTGGCAGTCAACAGAAAGTGCAGATAACTGAAAGACAATTCAACACAGAGTACAACTGTGTTAAAAAAGAAATAATTAACTAATATTGACCTTAATCTATTACAATCCCCTGTTTCAAACCTAAGGAATACAGGAATTCGTAGTTTTAAATTACACGTGTACGAAGTAGTTTGGCTGAATTACCATATAAACACCCACAATGCAGATAATAAATTTAAGGCTTCAAAACAAGGTAAAAATTGCATGCTCCTGCAGCAATGCCTTGAAAATCCAAAGTAGGAAATAGTTCTGTGAATTGACAATGTCATAAGAGGTTTTTCAACTCCATAATCTTTTAAAACAGTGAAGCTCTCTATGCAGTGGGAATCAACAATCTTTAAGGAGTTGCTACTATTTTCCAAGCAATCAAACCATGCAGCTTCTGTGTATCTCTACTGTTTTTAGTGCCTAAACAACATAGCCCTTTTTCTACTTCCTCATCTTTTAAAATGTTGTTTCAACGCTTACAAAAGCAACAAGCTACAGTTACATACACTTTAAAAATTATATTCTAAAATTATCAAGGCCAGGTCAGATGGGGCTTTGAGCAATCTGGTCTAATGGGAGGTGTCCCTGCCTATGGCAGGGGGGTTGGAACTAGATTATCTTCAAGGCCCCTTCCAACCCAAAACATTCTATGATTCAATATATTCTGCTGCTGCCTAGTTGACTAAAAGGTAAATAAGTCACTTTTTAATGTGACAGATAATGACATTTCCTTTTCTCTTGGGCTTTTTTTTTTTTTTCTCCTCTGTAAACTATTAAAAGAAAAATACACAAAATGGACCAGCAAAATTTGATGTTTTTGCAGAACACTCTGCTTATTGGTAGACAGATTTTGAGCTCACAGTACAGCAGAATATTGTGAGCATGTTCATCACTCATGAGAAAGATCATTTGATATCCACTACATATTTAAAAATCTGACAATAAGTTCAGTATATACTCTAATTTTCATGGAAACAGAAAAGCTGCTTCTAAATCTAGCTTAAAGAGATAAAAAGTTGACCCTGTCAATGTAGTATAGACACAGAAATTTAGAAGTCCAAATACGCATAAGTTAGGAGAGACTGTTTTGTGCCCTGTTGTAAGAGATTGGTCAAAGGAACTCACATTACTCCCAAAAGCTAGTCAAGAGGATGGCTTTTGACACCTGCACAAATAGCCAGAATGAACATCTAAAATATGTGTTCCAACAGCATTTTTACAAAATTAAAATAAAATTTAAAAAAGGTTTAATAATTTTCTGTATCTAAATTCTGGTTCTGGTATCCAGTAATGAGAGTACCAAGGACCAAACGACCTAAATATCTGATGGTGAGAATTTTTCTTCTTTACAAACAACTTTAATTTTCAAAGATGATTCACTGATACAAGTAACCTCAAAAAGTCTTCAACAAGCAATTCTAGTTGCCCTGCAATGAATTAGAACTTCATAAAAGCCAGTTCTTTTGACAGATATTGAAGATCAAATATGGCTTCTGCACATTTGCAAAGGACAAGGGAACAGTATGAATCTGGTAACAAAAAACTGTAAAATGTCAAGTAGCCATGAATAACATTTAAGTGCATTTGGGAAGAGCTACATATTCTTGAAAAAAGATTAATGTGAATAAACATTGTGAATTAAGGTGAAAATGGACACAGGAGAGGAAGAAAGGCTGAGACTGAAGGAAAAGAGGAATCTGGAGAAATAACATAATGGAAGAAGGAATTTAACGTCCAAGTAGAGATTTCACTCAAAGTGGTGTTTGAATAAACAAACAAAGACACCAAAGCAGTATTGAATAAATTACAAGCACTTCATGGCACATGCAGTTAACTGTTCAAGAAAATAAGTAGAGGCATACTTTGTTGCCAAAATTGCCATTTTTTACTGAAAAATCCAAATGACTGTTTTGATTTTTTAATTGCAGGCCATGTTCAGAAACATTTTTATTGCATTTTTATCAATAAACCATAAAGAAAATACAGATCTACCTTTTTTTAACAAGGATTTATAATATTAATAATAAACAGAAAATCTGCCATTGTTGATTTCACTGTTACATTTCCGTTCCACATTTGAAACTGATGCTTTGCCATTGCTTTCTATAAATATTACAGAATGAGAAATATCTAGTCATTCTGCAACTATTTTTGTGCCTTTTCTGCTTTATTCTGTTCCACATTCATCACTTCAGTTTGCAGTTCTCTAATCTTGTACACAATGTATAGACACACAAAGAACTAGAAACAGGTGAGCTAAGAAGCAAAAGCAAGAAATCTAGGATGAAAATTAGACCTATATCCTGCTTTTGGGGAAAAGAAAGATGGGCCAGAAACAAAAAGAAGATAACAGTCTGAAGATCAGAGACCACGTGAAAAGTTAGATACTGCTGTGAAACCATCTGGACTAGGTTTCCAGTCCAAAAAAGAAATCAAAGGATGGGTAATGGTGACTACTGCAGTAAACTACTGCAGACTGACATAACAGTGAAAGACAGGAAACAATTTGAAACAACAAATTTGGATGGGGCAGGACATTGTGAGATATTCTTGGCAATGTGCTGCTTCACTTTACTCACAATGGCTTTAGCCATTCAGAATTTAATTAATGCGTTGAAATCACCTAAATGCTGTAGTGACAATGAGGAAGAAATTAATATTCTGGATACTGACATTTTGCACACCGAGAGATGGAGAAACTGATGAGAAAAATATACAGTCATTGAAAGACTATCCCACTGAACAAACATATGACGGTTTAAACAAATGCTGCTTTTGGTTTTATTTCCTCATTTAAATTTGATTTTGCAGTGTTAATGTACCTTTAAATATCACTTCTCAGGGAATAATTGCTATTGATATTTTAAGAAATAAATAAGAAACTTTTAGGAAATAAATAACATGTATGTTTCAAGAAACACTCAAGCAGTTTTGCAGCAATTTTAAGAAAAGCTTCGAAGATAAAAGTAATAATCCATAACCTTGTTGGTCCCATAGTAATTTTGGAGGTGAAATTTCAACCAACATATTAATATACTCACATAGTCATTTTAATAAACTTGTTTTCTTTTGAATACATGTGAAAAAGCAAAGCTGACTTGATATGTCAGTAAAACAAAGTGATAGCCCCTTATTTTCTTTCACTGGATGGATTTGCTTATTCTATACTTACAATACTAGTTAACCTAGCCTGCTGCTTTGATTAGTCTTCAACAGAAAAAAAAAAAAGAAAAAAAAGGAAAAAACCCAAGAGCCTCCAGTATCAGAGACAAACTAAAAAAATAAAAACCAAAACAGAATAAAGAGTGATGTTATTGTGTTAAACAATTTGCTTCTGAAAGCACAACAGCCTAGGTATTCTGTACCAGGCGATTATCCAAACAAACCAATTCTCTTACCTGCTTATGGCATATGATTTCTTTATCCCACTCCTTCTCATCAGCAAATCGGAACTGTGCAAAGGAATCTCCTACAGAAAAATAACTTAAAAAATTATTATTTTTAAAATAACAAGCTCTCTCTAAAGTTCCCAACTGTACAGAAGTAAATTTGGTCAATCAATAAACATGATGTCTTGAGCAAATCTGCATATAAATTTTAATGTCTAATTTGGACAACACACTAGGAACATGTACAGTATTCTCAGTGTATTTTTTATGAACAGCTTTGAATGTGCTGTAGATAGACCTCTTATCAACACACAAATCTCTCTTAAAATAGATTATAAATGTCATAAAAATCACTTTTACAGGCCAGGTAAAGACCTCTTGCCTGGTAGCTAAATTCTCCAGACTCACTCTTCCTTGAACTAGCTCCTACTCTATCTAGCACATCATAAAAAAAAAAGGCACTGAACCCTGAACTCCAATGCATATGCACAAGGGACTCAACTAAAAGAAACCTTAAATAGGGCTGATCATGCTATGCACGTAACCTTAGTTATAGGATCTTTTAATCTCCTACCATATTTCCTCAAGACAGTAGGAACTTCCTCTTGCAGTTGGGGATGTTGAGTTATTATTTTGTTTTAGATGCAATATTTCTATTGCAGTACCACGCTGGGTCACAAAAGACAGTCCTATAAATTTATTCACTGAAAAAAGAATGTTCCAGGAACTCAAAAGAATTAGTAAGGTATGGGAGAGAGGCAACATGAAACATTAAGATTGGGAGATGATGACTAAAGTTCTAGAGTAACAGAAAACAAAGATTTGCTGATGCAGAATATGGGACATACGCCTTTTTACTCCATGAAGTTTGAGAACAAATAGCTGTTTCAGGAGCTCTATCAGGAAAAAAAACCAACCTGTTGAATTATTGCGGGAAGGACATGAAATCTGATTGCAAGAATTGCAGATCACCTAAAAGTTGCTAGGATTTAGTCCAGCAGTTGAGAAGCAACAGCTCATTTTTTTCCAATCTCTCATAGAGAATGGATGTCATAGAGGAAGTTTTCAATGGCATTCTGAACAACTGAACATCTGACTTCCATTTGGCTTTCAGTATCTTGGCTGTCATTCATATTTTTGATAATTCCAGAACCAAGCTCTTAATCCTACATAATAAAATCTGAAAATACTATGTGCTTCCTCAAAACTGGCTTATTTTTCATTGTCTGCCTGTCTCATAACACAGGGGAGTTCAGACTTAAGCAATTTTATGCAATAGTACCACAACCATTAGCCCCCTTCTGTTTTGCAAACAGAATGAATAAGCAACAAATCGACGTATTTCTTTGCCAAATGATTAAAAAAGGGAGACCTAACCATCTCCCAGATGGAATGTAAAAGTTATTTGCCATTAATTTTTTATTTTGTTTTTACTATCTAAAGTGCATTTCCAAGTCATTGCAATTTATGTATATTCAATGAATATGCAATGTACTTGTATATGAACCACACTATGTACCTGGCATGTCCATCATAGTCATCTTCAGAACAATTTCAGTAAGAAAGTGACCTTCTCAGCTAATTTTTTATATAGATATTCATGACCATTACCATGTCCAGCTGGAATTTGCATGTCCCTGTTTTCATGAGGTTCATCCAACATTGTTGAGCATTATTGGGCTGACACACAACCTTGCCTAATTAACTAGGCTTTGGTTTACATTCAATGCCTCCAGATACTGCTATTCTGAACACAACTAGTGACAAATAGTACAAGTGCAAATAATTAAAATTAAGCACTGAAATTGATATTTAGATATCTAAGGAGAAGAAGCCTAATTTTATACATGTTTAGTTCATGTAATTCCCAAACATCAGATTCCATGTCGGCTAGACATGCTCGGTACAGAAAATTAAGATCTGGTTTTTATGTATCGATCTGCAGATGCAAAAACTTCACACGAGCACTCACAGTTGGCTAAGTTCTAACAAAGGTGTCTTCCTCTTCATTGCACACAGCATAACAGTAAATAAACCACCCAGAAGTAATAACTAATGCAGAAAATTAAAGAAATCCAAATGCACTCATGATTTTAAAATGGGTACAAAAATGCACAAATTAATGTTTTAACAACTTATATTTTACAGGCTCAGTTTAGTTCCATCTGTAAAGAAGTTTTATTGAAAAATTATTAAACCAAGCATCCTCAAAGTCTTAATACTATTTTAAAAAAGGCACAAGCATTTTCTTACAGTATGCCCTAAACTCCTTCAGTTATTTCTCATGCTACAAGTTATTTCTCTTGTGTCAAAGAGAAAATAGTTCCCTCTGCTCTTACAAAGAATAAAATTAAACCAAAGATTAGTCAAATGCGTTCAGGATCTGCAAATGACCAGATGTAAATCAGCTAAACAAACCTACTTCATCAGGAAAACCCACTGGGATCAAGAACTGGTTTATGATTCTCCAAAGTTATTACCAACCAAAGTTGGTAATAACAGATCCTAAATTTGATATTGTATTGCTGAATAACAGGGTATGGCTTAAACTGTAGTTTAACTGAGCTCTTTAAATAGGTTAACAAAGCTTGCCTTTCAAATGGATAAGCAATAACTACAATTCACAGTAGCACATTTAATGCAAATTAGGTTAATGAGAATGTTGGTCTAACCACTTATCTTTTCACAAATTCCTTTACACTGAAATTAACTTCCTTTTATGTCATGAATACTAATCAAATGTCTTGCAATGACTCCGAGTTCCTTCCTATGTAAGAAAATACTTTTCTTCATGTGAATACTTTTTGTGTTACTTACAAGTATGACTTGGCCTTCAAATACAGAATAGCTAAAAATAATGCATTCAAGTAAAACACAACATCTTTGGTAGCATTCATAATACGCCTCAATATTCTATTTTGTATAAAATGTAACTTTATTATGAAAGAACAGCACATCTAAACTACCATGCTTTCTTACCATTTGAATACATTTTGGAGTAAAATCAATTCAGTTAACTAGAATACATGTTTCATAGTCTTATCAGCCCAGTTATTTCTTCATACAAATATTCATTGAATAGCAAAATCATACCTATAATCTGTAATAAATATTTTCCAATCTGCAAAATTATGAGTCTAAAAGTTTTTAAAAAATTAAGAAAAATGGTTCTCAGTAGGAAAACTGACATATCAGTTGAATTATTTTTTTCATTTTAACTCTCTAATTCATTAAAAACCGAAGACACAAAACATTATTGAAGACAGAGGAAAATATTCTATAATCTTAAGAGATTTTCAAATTGGAGGGGGGGAACAAACAATGCAACAGGATGCTTCTAAGACTGTTGTGACTGTAAAGAAGCACTAAGACTCCAAACCCATTTTTTAAACCAGAATTTACCTTCTCCCAAGTAAGTACCAATGATTTTTTAGAAACATACCTGGGGTTTCCCAGTCTTTGCTCATCTCCCATTTATTTTATTTTGGGAATGTAAGCCTCTGTCTACAAGTCTGTTTAGTCAGCTAAATAATTTGCAATAAGTTTATGATGGCAGAATGCAACTGAACCAAATAAACCACAACAGAAAGGTAGAGTTTAGTTACATTTGGGAAATTAACAGTGAGACCTAAAATATCTCAAAAAGCACTCTCTATCTACTACAGTAGTCAAAGCCCTTGCTGAGTTACTAAAATGAGAAGATTCTCTCCAAATAAAGTCCATTTTTTAAATAGATTTTAAGCAATTTTCCAAGTTTAACTCACAAGAGATCCCTTTCTCTATATATGAACCCCAGCTCAGCACTATTTATGAACGATATATCAAAACAAGCTACCTGCCTGTTCCACCAGTCTTCTTCATGGATTGCAATAATACAGGAGGAAACAAGTGCTATTTTTCAGGTGAACCAAATCCTCAAATCTCACACTTTTTTGCAGGGAAAATGAACTGAATGGTAATGTTTAGGCATGAATGATGCTCGAAATCTTATCCAACATCAATTGTTCATGTAAGACTGACCAATTCTCTTCAGGAGTCGAGGGGAAGACAAGCAACATATTATTTGCCTTTTAATAGTCCAAGACTTTATGTAGAAGGTCCAAGAGAAGACAGAAATCTATAGAAGAAAAGGTGGGCAAGTACTGAGTCACGAATTTTGAGCTAGCTTACAAGCACAGAGAGAAAACTAAAGCTTACCAGTCTTATGGGATTAATTTGGTGCAAGCAAATCTTTCCCAAACTGGAGGAAAAAGCATGAGGAAGAACTCCTATCCTTCCATGGTATGACTTGCTCCAACTAGAAGATTTTGAACACAACATGGCACCAGCAAGAACCACAGACTGAGAGCTTTGGAACCTCACTGGAATAGAAAATGTCTTTTCTCTTTACACAGTGTTTCTACATAGGGCAATTTATATCTATTTTAGATATAGATGGATATTTTTATAAATGTTATATATATAAATTGTCTATCTACAATTAATTGTCATTTAATATAAAAATATCCTTGGAGAAATACTATTGAGGATTATTTTTTTTTATAAGACACCTAATGGTTTTCCTTTTTTCTTCTGCAAAGGAGACTTCCACGTATACATATATACAGACTCATATTAAATACTCTTCCAACACTAGGAAATGTATGTTCTGCAAAGGTTTTATATTAATAATTTTATACACATCATACACAGATAATCATCCAGATATGATAATTTTCCCACTATGAGGCAGCATATAATACTGAGAGACACACTTCTGGAAGACAAAACTTCCAAAGACTCTTCATGGCAGTTCTAATAACATCACAGATTTCTATTTCTGCTTTTTTAATTTCTCTACTTTGGAAGGGTACAGACTGTAACTATTATCTTTTACTATGACTAAGGCTGCAATGTGCTACTTATGCAATTTGCCACGAGCATAGATTGAGTAATAGCAATTTTCAGAATGTAAGAATACAAAAACAACAGATAAAGACCCTGTGAGAACTCAGTATCTATTAACTTTCCTCAGATACCATTAAGATCAGTAATATTGAAAGTAACTGCAAAGTCTGTCTTTTATCAAGAACATGACAGG